TCTAATATGATAAATGCATCATTTTTTTTAAATGAAACGTTGAAAATGGTGTAATGGCTAATAAGATTATAGTTCCTAACATGTTCATTGGTTACCGCATCACATTTTGCCGTGCGGTAAATAACGTTTCCAGTGTGGCAGGAGCCATTAGGGTGAAATCACACGGAAAACTGCGGAATAGAGAAGGCGTCAGAGAAGCAACTAATCAGCGTTCTTTTGTATCATTCTGAATAGCGCTGATTGGTTGTTTCTATGACGCATTCTCTATTCCGCAGTCGTTTTCCGCATCGTGTGATTTTACCTTTATCTAGGAAGAGCAATCATGGAATGATTCGGAATACATTAGACCGGGTTCACATCTAGACGGAAAAGTGGAAAAGGGGAAGCCAATCGCAGTAATAGTAGGTGGTACACTTGCTTGTCTTTCTGCTTCTGTCTTTCCGCGAGTTCTGATTGGCTTCCGCTTTTTCGCTTTCCGCTTTTCTGTCAAGGTGTGATAATCAGGCCTTATAATCAGAATCTAGCGCTTGTCTTTAACCAATCAGTAACTTGAACAAATTCGGCTACGATCTCCTCTTTGATACGCGGAATCGCTAATTTTGTATCACACCATAGCTTTAGGTTAGTTCGAAACCGGGGAACCGGTTGAGCCTTTCTAAGGCGTAACAAAAGGAAGGAAATGGAGGACTTCGATTGGACATTTTCTTATGTATTACTTGTTATGCGTTATGCTAAGAGCTGTGCTCCCCGTTTAAGGGTGTATCCACAACTAGCCGCATAAACGTATGTATAAAGAAAATTATCCAATCGCATTTCTTCTATATAGACGAACGTAAAATGTGATTGAATAATTTTTTTATGCGGCTATGGAAGTTTGTGTGGATATATCCTAATGATCGCAATAGAAACTCTTGCATAACGCATAATGTATAGTGCATAAAGGAATCAACCAATTGAAATTGTTCTTTTTCAATAATGAAATAAGAGGAAAGGAAAGATTCTGATTAGTTGATTCTCTTATTCACTATGCGTTATGCGAAAGTCTGTGCTGCAGCCTTAAGGCCAAAAGAAGAAGTGTTGTGCATAGAACGCACAGAACACAATTGACGTAAATATCAAATATTCGACGATCGAAAAATGAATGTTATTTTGAAAGTGTTTCATAAAAGTTAATCATTTTCTGTTGTTGTTTATTGCCTGATTTAATGTACAATTGATAAGGTAGTAAGCTCAATAAGTGTCATACAGGATACAAGAATGCCACCGAAATGTAAATTTCAAGAAGGTATAGTTTCTTATTCATTTTGCAGTGAAGATTAATTGTTGAACTTTTTTTGTATTTTTGATTTTATGAATTGAATTAATATTATGGTTTGTATATTAGGAGAAAAAGTTCTGTGCTTTCATGGACCATTGATCTATGAAGCCAAGTGTTTGAAGTCATCTATTACCAAGGAGAAGCAAGTTAAATATCTTATTCATTATGCTGGTTGGAATAAAAAGTAAGATTTTTATACATATGTGTGTGTGAACTATATGTAGGATTTATTTATATAACGTTTTTATATAATGTTTATTTATATAACGCTAATGAAGTTGAATCATATACTGAATTATATATTTGAAAAAAAAATAGTTGGGATGAATGGGTTCCTGAAAGTAGAGTGCTCAAATATAATGAGGCAAATGTACAGAAACAGAGAGAAGTCCAGAGAGCGCACTCAAATCAGCAATCTGCTCAGAAAAACAAAAAGGGAAATACAGCAACTAAAACACAAGGTCGAAGGAGTGAGGGAGGTCGAGAAAAAGATACTGATAGTAGATCAAGCACTCCTGTCGCTGATAAGAGTATGAGTCGTTTTAGTAAAGGTACAAGTAGCTCAGTAATGCCTTCGTCTTCTCATGAGTCTGTGTCTGAACCACCACGTAAAAAACGCAGGTTTGTTATTTAACATCTAATGTTTTTTTTACAATTGTGTATTGCAGTTTATTAAAAGAATTTTTTTTTAGTCGTCTAGAGCCGTCTGGCGAGACTGAAGAATATCTTACGAAAATAGAGGTTAAAATCAAGTTACCTGAAGAATTGAAGTTTGTGCTAATAGACGAATCTGAAATAATACTGAAGCATCACAAATTACCTGCATTACCTGTACAAAATACAGTTGACAAAATTCTAGATGATTATGTAGAAACAAAATCATCAGGGAAATCTAATGATATTAGGTATAATGACTGAAAGTCGACAATTATTATTTTATTGAATAATGAAGATTGTAAATTATATTTTATATATGTATATGTGCACAACATGTCATGATAATTATCTGTTTACAATCTGGATATTTTTAACATATTTAAAATTTTATTCTCAAATTTCTTTCTCATTTTTTAAATCAAATTAATTTTTATAAAATAAATGTTAACATTTGAGTTAAAAAATTATTTGATAATATAAGAATATCAAAAAGTAATGAAATGACTTTCATATTTTCTGAAAAAAAAACTTAGGCTGGATAAAAAAGATCTAGATTACAAACAAAGAGAGCAAAATGGGAACAAAAAACTATGATTGCAATTGAAGCATTACCTCTATTTCAGAGAAAGCACGTTGGAAATAACGAAAGGTATTCGGGAATACTTTAATAACACATTGGGCCTTCAACTATTGTATAAATGGGAACGACCGCAGTTTATACAGATAATGAATGACAATCCGGAAGCGTTGCCAAGTCAGTTATACGGAGCGTTTCATCTTCTTAGACTATTCGGTAAAACATTCTATAATATAATTTGTTGTTTTTAACTGACATTATTTAAATGTGATAATTTTAACTTTGTAGTACGACTCGGTGGTATGCTCTCTTATACGCCCTTAGACGAGAAGAGTATACAGTTATTGCTGTCGCATTTTCACGATTTTCTGCAATATTTGCAAAAGAACAACGCTGTGCTCTTTAATCTTCAACAAGATTACACAGATCCATCACCAGATTATCATCGAAAGTATGGTTAAACTATCAGTTTATTTTTTTTCAAATTTATATTTGAACGAATGTATTACTTATATGCGAAATATTTTACATGACAATCTGTTTACACATAGGATGCTATTTAAATTCATTTTTTACACAACTATCGTATAATCATTTTAAATGAAGTAATATAATAATTTAGCTAGTAATAATAATATAAATAAATTATTGCGAAACAAAGATGATGATATAAAAAAAATTATGATGAAATTATGATGAAATTATAATTCAAATAGATAACGCGATATTAAGGAGGATTCATAAAATTATCAGATTTTGGCCTAAACGATAGAATCTTTCTGATATTTCATGTTTTCTATTCATTTCCATTGACATGCTATTTCTATTCATTGACATGCTGTATCATTTGAAAATTTTTATTTCATAGTTTATAGATCTGATGGAAATATATTGAAAATTAAAAGAACACAATTTCGTCAAAATCTGATCTTTGATTGTAATTTTCAATATTTTCCTGCAGTCAATTTGAAATTAATGTTGCAAATGATTCAGCGCAAAAGATATGAAAAAAAAAAACGTAAGGATTACATTGCTTAGACTAAAATTGGCTGTTTTACTTTTTATTCAATGTTCTGAAGAATGAATAAAATAGATTAATTTTGACCAAAACAATAGAATCTTTTTTTTTTATTTTTTTGATGTGTTGAATTATTTGCAAACGTTAATTTCAAATTAAACTAATAGGAAAATGTTGAAAATTGCAATCAAAGATCCGATTTCGACAAATTGCTATTTTTAATGCGATTTTCGACATGTCCTCATCAGACTAGTTTGAAATAAATGTTTTCAAATGATTGAGTTGATCAAAAAATACAAAAAAAAATGTACATAAGAAAGATTCCATCGTTTAAAGATTAAGACAAAATCCAGTAATTTTACCTAACCTCTACATTTTAGATATTAAGTCAGAATAAAATAAACCAGATAGATTAGTTAAATATAAAAGAGAAGAGAAAGAGGGAGGGGAGGGAGGGAGCCAAGAAACAATAATTAATGTTTTATGAAAATATTAAATGAAAATGATACGCGTGTATAAAGCAAAAAAAAAAAAATAAAAGACCGAGGCCCTACGCACAATAGAAGAAAAAAGAAATTAAGAATAAAAGGAATAAAAAGGAATAAAAAGAGTAAACGATTTTAAACTATCAGAAATCGGATATATCGGAATACATGGTTTCTGATAGATTGAAATCGTTTATTCTTTATTCCTAATGCCTGTATTCATCTGTAGATGCTGCACAAATTATTTCATTGGTTGCTGAGCATCTAAAGATAAATTTAAGAAAGCCTTAAATTAAGGCCTGATGAATATGAGCATAATTCCTTATTCCTTCTGTTGTGCGTAGAGCCTTAATCTTTTAACATTGTTTTTTGCTTTATACACGAGCATCATTTTAATATTTTCAACATAAAACATTAATTATTTATGAAAATAATAATTAGAACAATACAATTGCCCGTGTTCATAGATTAGACTTTATAGATTTAAGACTTTCTTAAATTTATCTTTAGATGCTCAGCAGCCAATGAAATAATTCGTACAGTACCTGAAGTTAAATTTAAGGAAGCCTTAAATATAAGATCTGACTATGAATACGCAAATATTTTATAGATAAATTTGAAAAATCAAATGATCAATCCGAGTCAGTTCGAAATAATCTGTCCTTTTGTCGGATAGACAAATGCAACGACCAATCCATTTAATCGACACTCACGAACAGTCAATCAGCGAGCGTCACATAGTGATCTAAAATGGATTCTATCAAGACCCCCCCCCCCCGAAATGCGAAGGAATAATGATAAGATGATTTTAACCTATCAGAAGCTATATATTCCAATGTATCTGATTTTTGATAGGTTGAAATCGTGTTATTTCTATCGCTATTCCTTCGTATGATGATCCGGAGCTTTGGACGTCGACCGGCCATCTCAGTACAGCTAGTATGCATCGACATAATCGAATCATCGAGTATTCGAGTCTCTCGCCAACGTTCGACGTGGAAGTCGTTGGAGGATCGTCCGTCATTCGCCCCGGGCGAGAATCTATAGTCGATAACGGCACGCACACGTATTAGGACGCGCCGGTGTTACGTCTCGCGTCGTGGCGGTGCAAATGCGCGCGCCAGGCGAGTACGAGCCAGTCCGCGAACATCGGGCCAGTCAGTCAGTGGCAGGAAAAAATGGCGGATGTCGACTTGAATATCGACAACTTGATACAGAGATTGTTGGAAGGTACGTGATTGCGACGGGACGGCCGACGTGTTGAAATATGCGTGTACGACGCGCGTCGTTTTGCCGCCGCGCGCGTGTACGTCGCGAGCGTGTTTCGTCCGCGCGCGATCGACGGAAATTTACTGCGGCGCAGCCGGGACCCGCACCCGGATATAAACGCGACGCAACGCGATGCGCGAGTCAAATCGAATGCTCGAACTTGTCACAATTGAAACGCGACGCGCTCATGCCCCACGTTCCCGCGCGTCGAATGCACGTATGCTTCAACTCGTTTTCGCAATCATCGCACGACAGTCCCGAACCACGCGGCCCTCTTTTTCGTTCGCTCCGTCTCCCTCGCTCTCCGAGAGTGCGTATCGCGCGGGAGCGTGACGCGGTATTCCGATCACGCGTCCTTCGTGTCACCGCGCGCGACTTCCCGATCGAGCCGATCAAAAGATGCAGGGTGGATATCGATCTTGCCCGTCAAACTTTCGCGGTCATTGCCGTTGCGATACATGAATAAAAAAAAAAATTCATGAGATCATTCGATATTCCTCTTTTTTCCTCTTCCTCTTTCGATCTCGTTCCGAACTATATCTATTTTCCCATCTCTCTCCCTTGCCTCTCTTCCTCTCTTTCTTTCTCTCTATCCATCCCTCTATCTCACTGCTTGGTCGCGTTCATTTTCTCACTCTACGATATAACTCCATCTACTTCTCGCGACTTAAAGAGCCCACCCCTCCCTCCGCGCAAACCGCCACCGCATCACCCCCTTCGCCCTGCGCCGCGCGATCTTTTATCCCTCCGTTCTCTTTAGCCGCAGAAAAAAAGAAGAAACAATCTCTCTCTTTTTGTTTGTTCTCTCTCTCATGCTACGCGAATGCGGGAACCCCCTTGTGCGGTAAAGTATACCACACGCAGAAAGACCAGGTTCAGAAGAAAGCCAAGCTAAAAGATATTTTCTCGTCGGACTTTGTCGGTACGCAGCTACTACACAACAATAACCAGCCACCATCACCACTATCATTACAGCAACAACAGGAAACAACAAACTCCTCCACATAGAATTATCCTGCATTCTCTAAATTCTTTAGAGTCGAATCTCTCTAAATAGATGAAAATTGAGCCAGTCTTGAAAAAGAATGACTGAGTTTTCAATCTTTAACTCTTACTACACGCGATTGAATCATTCTTGTTCTGCATTTTTCTTCTAAAAACTAAGATCAAATAATTTATTATATCACACATTTATACATAATTTTTTAAATAATCTTGCGAATACTTTTTAAAGATATCAAAATATATTAAAAAGTTAAAGTATATCAAGAAATATTTAATAATTTTTGTATGTTTATTAAAGTAATGAAAATTAATCTGGGACATAAATGACCCATTATGTCATAATAAGGACTGAATCGTATGTATTAAGAGTGAGATTTCACTCTTCAGAATAAGATTTATTCTAAAAATTTTATGGTGAATTCGGTCACTTGTACTAAACTAATGGACATAAAAAGGCTGTTTTGCATAAAGTATCTAAATGCAATGGCATAATCAACTTTGACAATAAAATTATATACACATATTTTGTT